ATGCCCTCAGTCGGATCCCCAGCAACCATCAAAACGATTGTCTTCTGGGCAAAGTGGAAACACAGGATGCTCCTGGAAAACCAAGCCAGCACCCCGGCTATTTCTTAAGCATGCAGTCATGTGTGAATTATATCATCTTTAAGTTGGTCAGGCATTGGTGACTCACACCTGTATATTCTAGAGACTAAGGCAAAAGGTTACAAGTTCAGGGGCCAGAGTGGTCAACTTAGTGAGACCCTTTTTAAACTAAAGTGAAAAAGGAGCCTGGCACTGGCGTCTCATGCCTGTAGTTCTAGCTACTTAGGAGGCAAAGATCAGAAGTAGCATGGTTCAAAGCCAGACTGGAGCAAATACTTCTCAAGACCCTATCTCGAAAATATCCAACATAAAACAGGGCTGGCGGAGTGGCTCAAGTGATAGAGTGCCTGCCTAGCAAGCGTGAAGCCCTGAGTTCAAACCTCAGTACTCTCCCTCACCCCAACCCCAAAAAAGAGGACTCAGTGGTAGTGGGAGAGCATATGCATGCATGCATACGCATGAAGCCTTGGGTTCAATTCTCAGTGGGGAGGGAGGCCTAGAATATTTTATGGACTGGGACTGAGGTTGTGAGGGGTTGTCATACAGCAAGGAAAAGGAAATGGAGAGCAAATGCTGAGGGTGGAGCTTTTTGGATTTGTCGCCTGCTGTGTGCCTGTACCTAGAATCATTGCCTGCTTTGTGCCTGTACACAGACACACATTCATATACCAAACACAAAAAGTGTGCACACAAACCCCAGCCCTGCCAGAAAAAAAAAAAAAAAGAAAGAAAGAAAGAAAGAAAGCACACACACACTTCTGAAGATGCTCACAGCACTGGCTGCAGGTTCCAGGAAGTCCACTAGGGGCTGCCAGGGTACCAGTTGTCGCCTCCGGCCGGATCCTGATGATGCTCCTCGCCAGCACAAGCGCAGCCTCGGCTCTTCCCAGCAGGGGGCGCCAGCTGCCAGGGGACAGCCAAAGCAGGCACAGCACCAGAATGCCGTGAGCCCACTGGGTCATCACTGAGAGCACAGCACCCAGGACAGCCAAAGCAGGCACAGCACCAGAATGCCGTGAGCCCACTGGGTCATCACTGAGAGCACAGCACCCAGACACATGAGTCTTCTCTTTCTTCTGCAAGCCTTTGAGCTTGGGCCTTGCTGCCTCCCCTCTTATATACCAGAGAGAAGCTAGGTTTTGTGGGGCCTCTAACAAAAACACAGTATTTTGTCTTTTTTTACAAAACACAATGAAACCTATGATCACAAAGCTAGAGAGCTTCCCAAGTGAGGAGCTCTGAAGTTTAAGCATCTTTGATAATTTCCGGGTAAATACTCTGATTACATGGGTGCCTACTTATTTGCTGCCTCTCACTGAAAGTGTAAGTTTTAGCTGGGTGCCACTGCCTGTAGTCCTAGCTATGTGGGAGGCAGAGAACAGAAGAATCACAATTCTGGGCCAGCCCATGCAAAAAAGTTTTCGAGACCCCCATCTCAGTGGAAAATTGCTGGGCATGAGTGCCCAGGCCTGTCATCTCAACTATCACAAGAGAATTGCGGTCCCAGGCTGGCCTGGGCAAAAAGCGAGATTTCTAACTACTTGTTGAATAAACCAGTTGGGGCTGGTAAGTCTTCCCAGGTAGAAGTGACATGGCAATGGTTTAGCTTGGGGCTTAGAGTGCACGGGTTGATGATGTCATTGCTGAAACCTTAGAACAAGTGGGTATGACACCCATTTTTAAGCTGAAGATGCCTGCGCCAGGGAGGTGAAGCAAGCGCCCTGTCAGAAGTGACACTGGGTCTGCCTTCCCTTGTTCCCTCTTGGCCCACAAGCTACCATCCGCCCCTAACCGCCCCTTGCACAAGGGCCTGATGCAACCCTGTACCGGCCTGGGGCACCCCTCTTGGGGGCAGCGCTGGGAAAGAGGTTTTGCAAGAGTTGGGGTAGGCAGGAAGCAGAGCCAGCCAGGGCCGGTCACAGAGATAAGGGAGTCTTGCCCCTCCCTGTGGCTCCTCCTAGGCCTTGGTTTCCTCTTCCCTTCCCTTTCCGGGAAAGTGGCGCCTGGCCTTGGCCCCAGCCTCGCCCGGCTCCTGACCTGGCCTTGTGACTCACCTCCTTTCACTGCGACAACCAGCCTGGGATCTGAGGGCCTGCCTGCTACTGGAAAGCTCTGTGGTGTGATCCTGGGCATTAGGGAGCCCTCTCTGGTTGGCTTTCCTGGTGCATGATAATGATAGCAGTGATTCACATGAAGAATGGGCCGGGTCTTAGTCTAAGGAGGCAAAATGTGGGGGATCCAACACCATCCCCCCGCCAGCCAGTGAACACCAAGGTCTTCCTGACTCACACTGGCAGGTGTGGAGTTTGCGCTTGTGTGTGGTGGAGGCATCCTTTGCCCCTGGTGCTGGGGAGAAGGTGTATCCTGAAATCAGGGTCTGAGGATCCCTCAGCCTCCAGGTTGGAGGTACGATTTCAACTGGAAATAAGGTGAAAGGCTAAACTGGATGTTCTGTGGGAACATGAGGCCCCTTCTAAACCTGGCTTGGGGGCTAAGGGGCGTGGTTCAAGTGAAAGTGCACCTGCACAAGGCCCTGAGTTCAAACCCCAGTACCTCCAATAAATAAATCTGGTTTGAACCAGCTTCATTTCTGGAAAAGCCCTGTAAGTCAAAGTCCTAGTGTGGCCTTGGGTGGGTCACCTCACTTCTGTGATGCCTCCCTTTTCTCATTTGAATAATGAGAGGAGCAAGGCACCCCCACACTGATAGGGCTGTTGAGACAATCCTTCATTAAAGCCACAAAACATTTCATACCTATGTGAGCCAGTCAGAGTGCAAAGCTTTTTGTGTTGCTTGAGATGGGACAGATATCCAACGCCTGTAAGTGAGCCTTCTTCATTACCTCCCGGGAAGCTGGGATACTAAGTTTTTTATGTGCATCTGGTCAGTAGATCTCTGAGGCCCAGATTTGGAAGCCCATTTTCTGGTGAAGTGAAGACCACCAAGGCTGACTCAGAGGCTGCATCCTACTTGCTGTGATACTTAAAAAGTTAGTTTAGCCAGGTACTTGTGGCTCCTGCCTCTACTCCTAGCTACTCAGGAGGCAGAGATGAGGAGGACGGTGGTTCGCGGCTGGCCAGGGGAAAAAAGTGAGCCACTAGCTCAAAAAAATATCACATGCACACAAAGGGCTGGCAGCATGGCTTAAGTGGTAGGGCACCTGCCTAGCAAGCATGAGGCCCCTAAGTTCACACCCCAGTACCACCAAAAAAATAAAAGCCCAAAGCCCATGTAGCTGTGTGTGGTGTTAACACTTCTGTAATTTCAGACACTTGGGAGATGGAAGCAGGCTGGGTTGCAAAGTGAGACCCTGTCTGAAAAAAACAAAGACTGAGAACGCAACTCAGTGGTCATGCTTTTGCCTAGTATGTGCAAGGCCTTGGGTTTGATCCTGGAAGGGGGTGGGGGAGCTTAGCCTAATTACTAATTACTGCTGTTATTAAAATGAGCATATGAGAACATTGGGTCCATTTAAGTTGTGAGCATTAAATGAGTCGCTATTTTCAAGAGCTTAAGATAGCGCCTAGCAGATAATAAGCGCTCTAATAAGTGTTTGCTAAATAACCTAAATAGAATAATTTTGTTCTGGAGTCTCTCTGCCTCCCTCACCCCCTCAACTCTGGCTGTGTCCCATCGTGGAGGGTTGGGGCATTAATGATTTCCAAGGGAGCAGGGTTTTGTGCACACACACACACACACACACACACACACAGTGACGGCCTCTGTCCCCTCCCTCCGCGAGGCCGGGAGCCTCTTATGCAAGCCGCCGGCGCCCGCCGGTTCCCAGGCCCGGCTGCAGCTGCGGGCGGAGGGGCAGGGCGGGGGCGGCGCGCTGTTTGTCTAGCGCGGCGGTGCCAAAGACTGCGGGCCCCAGACAGCCAGGCGCCTCCGTACACCTGGGGATGCTCAGGTTAAATAGCTCTGCATTCCTCGGGCCCAGCTGATGGAAACGCTCCCAGGCCGCCGCCGAGCCGGCCTCCAGATGGGCTGGGCTCGGGCCAAAGGGGAAGGGAAGGAAACGTGGAATCCAGAGTGTGCCTGAATGGCGGGGGAGGTGGCCAAGGCCCGCCGCAGCCCCTTCCTCCCCTGGAAGAAGGCCCTGCAGTGTAGGACTGCGCGCAGCGGGACACGCCCACGTCCCCGTGGGTGGGCTTGCGGGGCCCGGGGGGAGGGGGGGGAGGCACACGTGGGAGGGAGTGGGTGCACACGTGTGCCTCGGAGGACACTCCAAGGACACACAGGCTATGATTAATTTATAACCATCAAACTACGTGCCAGGCGCTGTGCTAAATCCTTTACTCGATTTCATTTATTCTGGACAATTCTGTGAGCTTGGAGCTGTAATATAGCAGCCAGGTGAGGGGGGAGTAGCAAAGGATTTAATTTACCTGGAAATACTCTGTTGTCTGATAAGAATCCTTAAAAGGTTTGAATAGAGGGTGGCACCTGGCTTAATGTTGGTGCTCATAAGTACATTTATTTTTGTCATTGTTTCGTCTGCTGTAAAACAGGGATCAAAATCCTGCCTTCAGCCTTATGAAATGCTTTATGTAAAGGGTGGTCATTGTCAGGCTTCTGGTTTGCATTGTTTATTGACAAATCTTCTCTGGGACTCGAAGTTGACCTGGTAGGGATACTTGAAGGTTGGTGTCCCAGGTCTGACAACTGCCCAGGAGTTGGTACTTAAAACTTTTGAGGAGGGATTTGCCCAAACACAGCTGCCCCCACCCCTACTTGCAGTGGCCCAGGAATGTCAAGAAATCTACATAACAATTACACAGGAACCAAATGTGGCTTTGTGCCCCTCCCCCAACACAAACCTATCGATTAACCCACCCATGCAGGGGTACGAACAATGCACTTAGGCTGCACATATAAGCCTCAAGTGCAGGTTACATCTGTCTGCAGAACACATGTGCTCACATTTGCCATTATACCCGCAACACAAGCACATCCTCTTTCACCCCCCCTCCCCCAACAGGCATGTACAAGTGACCCAGACTCACGGTGGGGAGGGCTACCAGTTTACTCTAATCCCATACACAAGCCCAGACACTTACACACTTCCCTTCTAGCACAAACCCACAAGTCCAGGCAGACAGTCCCTTGTCAGTGACATCTATTTCCTGCTCAGAAGCTGGGGACACGAGTAGCCCACTCCTCTTCAGAGCCCACACAGTAGCCCCAGGGGAGAGGTTGGTTTGAGCTGCTGGCACAGCCAGGCCAGGGTGAGGGGGCACAGTCCGGAGCCAGAGCAGGTGGCCCAGCAGCTGTGCACAGCCTGGCTCTGCCAATTTGATCACCCACTTGGACTGGCCAGAAGCCCCAGGGCAGCCTGCTGGCACACAGCAGGGAGGTGCCTCGCTGGCTGGGGGAGGCACATCTTACTAGGGAATGGGGGAACAGAAGGCCTGCTTCAGACAATATGTCCTTAGAATTCCCCTTTCCATTGGGATTCACTTCCCCCACCTTGCCAAAGAGGCAGATGACCCAATGACCGATTCTCCAACTTAAAGGGCTTGAATACTCCCAACCCAGAGGGGTCCTCAGCAGGTTTATCTGCATTTTAACAACCTCCCCAGGTGATCCAGATGGCCTAGTGACCACTTCGAGAGAATTTAATTTTATGGCACCAGGAAACGGGGAAATAGCCAGGGACAAGGGGAAAAGAATAGACTTTAAAGACACCGGAAATGCTCACTCAGGTCTGTTAAGAGTGACAGTCCAGATGTGGCCGTCTGGGCTCCCTCCTCCCAACACCAGCTGTGAAAAGGGTCAGAGGTCAACCCAAAACCCGGACCCTTCCCCTCAATCCAAGAAGTCATTGCAACTTTTCCAACATCTAAAGTACTTGTTTAATAAAACAACAAAAAGCCACCCTCACAGAACTATTGTAAAACAATATTCTCAGTTGGTGATCATTGTAATATACAATACAAAGCAATTTCCTCAGAAATCTGAGAAGCACCAAACGTGACCATTTTTTAAAATGTCTGCTTTTCAAAAAATAGAAACACACGGTAGGGGGATATCACCCCCTCCCCAAGTCTCTGGAGGCTGGCAGTTGTGGAGAAGGTCGGCCTCCCCTCGTCTATTCCTCCAGCCCCGGCCCGATCCAGCAAGCATCCGATGGCCGCCGAAGTGTCTGTTTCCCCAGCTCCGGGTGAGCGCTTGGGGAGGACCGGGCGCACTTAATCCTCTTGCCTCCTGGAGAGCTGGGGTCCAGCAGTCCCTGAGTGCGGGGGCCTTAGCGACACAAGATGCGATCGTCCGCTGAAACACATGCCGCCTGTGAAAACGAAAGAAGAGAAATATTAGTAAGTTGGAAGGGACCGGACTTAGAAGCACAGCAGGCGTCTCCACTTTTTTAAGGGACGCGACGGGGAAGCGTGCTTTTCCCAGTTTCCTTGGCCATCCTCTCAACAGCCCGATTCTCTAATAGATGTGGTGGCCTCAGTTTCCCCATCGAGAGAAGGATAATGAAATACTCGGACTTGGAGCTCACCTCGGCCGCCAAGGCACTGATCTCGCCATTGAGGGTGCTGAGCGGAGCGCGAACCGGCAGCCCCCGGCCCCCGGGGGTTCCGACTTCGGATTCCGAGTTGAGCTCCAACTGCAGGTCCCTGATGTAGTCGATGACGTGCTGAAGGATCTCCACCTTGCTCACTTTGCGGTTCTGGGGCAGGGTGGGCACCAGCTCCTTGAGGCGCGAGTAGCAGCCGTTCATGTCGTAGAGCAGCACGTTCACCTGCTGTTCGTCCAGCAGCGCGGGCAGGCGCGCCCCGGCGCAGCGCGAGATGGCCACGCTCTGCTCGGACAGGCAGCGCACCACCTCCCCCGCACCGCCCGCCGTTTTGCCGGCCTTCAGCGTGCAGCTGGGACCCGCGGTGGCTGCAGCGCTGCCACTGGCGACCTTCATGGTCCTGGTGTCTGGCTACAAGAGAATTGGCGAGAAGAAAGAAGAAGGGCACCGAGGAGTTAGATGAGCTCCAAAAAGTTGGACAACAGTTGTGCAATGCGAGAGCAGGGCGCGCCAGCCGGTCCTTTATAAGGACGCCGCGCCCCCCCCACCCTAGGGGCGGGCTCAAAAATGTTCAAAAGCAACCAATGGGAGTGCTGGAGGCGTGGCTTCGAGTCCTGTTAGGTTCCACCCCCTGCTCAAATTGTGCGCCCTGAGTTAGTGAAAAGGCCAGCGAGTCTCAAGAATAGAGACGGAGGGAGGGCTGGGAGCAGGTCGGCTAGTGGAGGGGAGGGTTGCCTTGGATGCTTTGGTAAGGAGGCTAAACCATTTGCTGATAAGGAAAACACCTCGTGAACAGGCTTCATGTGTTCACTTTCTCACTTCTCTAACTCCATTTTACAGATGAGAGAAACTGAGGCTTGGACGGAGAAATGGATGGCTCTACGTCAGAAGCCAAGGGTTTCCAGATCCTCTTGGGAAACTACCAAATCTCAAGGCCAAATTTTAAAGCGTGCCCTCTTTCACACTCAACTCCCGGAGTTGGACGTTCTCAATTCTCAAACAGTGTTGCTGTTCATATTCCTAGAATCAAGGCACAGGTCCCTTGAAGTGGGAGCCAGTTTCTGGTTAGTCTTCCTGTAAGATGCAGGGTCTCTGGGACCTGAATTAGATAGAAGATTCGGGACGGAGTAGAGCTGCACCATCCCCCAATTCTACCCTGAATTTGTAGCCCCCTGCAAAAAGTTCCCAAATCCGCAACTAGTGGTTTTTCTCCCTTTTTTGGCTGGATTTTTTTTTTTTTCCCCCCCTTAAAGACCTCAGAGCAGGGTCTCCTTCCCACAGCGCGGCAGCTGCGCAGATCCAATCCCCGCCCCCCCCTTCCCCGGGCTAGTCTGTGTCAGCGTCTGAACAAGCGCTCAGACCGTTAGACGCCAGGCCCGTGACGTCACCCATTCATAAAACCCGGACGGGCTGTCAGGCTGGCGCCGCGCGGGCGGTCGCCATGGGAACGGCAAACTGGGCTGGAGAGCTCTGCAGACCCCGAGCGGAGGCCTGGGAATGCCTTCCTAGTGGGCGCGGTCGCTGCACCTTACGTCCCCGCCCCACACCTGCGGAGTCTCCCCCATCCAGACCCAGGCTTGGGAGGTTTTCTCAAAACCCCCGCCCAACCCCCGCTCTGCCCTGCGCCCGAGCAGCGTTTCCAGCGCTGCTGTTGGGTAAGTGCAGGTGAGTTTCTGCCCTTGCTCCTTACCATCTGCCTGGTTCCCAAAGAATCACAAAAGTGACCCTTCCCTTAGTTCTCACTCCAGCACTGTGGGAAGTTTACTTTTCTCATCTTGTAGTCCTGTCCCCGACTCTAAAGACGGGAGCTATTTGGTTTCTTTACAAAAGGGGAAACTGAGGCTTACAAACCTCCCAGAAACCATGGCAGTTGTACTGGCAGCATTGTTACCACAAAGGCACAGTAATGCCGCGACTTGTGTAGAGCGGGCAGTGTGATCCAGAGCCATAGGCAGGCCACACGCAGGGATACTGAGACTCGGACTATTTACCCACGGCCACCCTGGTAAGTAGGAGAGGCTGACATTATGGTCCGTCCTTCCCCCAGCGGTTAGTTCATAGGGTATCAACAGTTTCCCTTTTCCCACAGATGTTTGGAATAGGGAACAATACACCAGCCCTCTGCCTCCTCCTCAGGAAATCAGGAAATCTGATCAGCGTCACCAGCTTCAAAGAACAGAGACAGCTGGGCCTCGTGATGCACCCCAGCACTTGGAAGGTGTAGGTGGATGTGGAGTTCCAGGTCAGACTCCATCTCCAAAATAACCAGAGCAAAATGGACTGTGGCTCAAGTGGTAGAGCTCTTGCTCTGTGAGCATGAAGCCCTAAGTCCAAAACCCAGTCCCACCAAATGAAAAAAAAATACACTATCAGTTAAGTAGGTGGACCACCCCATCTCATTACCACACACCCCAATATGCTCCAAACTCCCTAGGCCTTGATTCCTCCCATGCTGCTCCAAAGACTTGGCTGAAGACCTGGAAGGACAGTGATCAACCAGAGGTCATTGGCATACTAATTCATCAGCAAGTGTTTCTTCATTGACCTAGCCATTCTTGTTGCAGCCAAGTCCAGGGAAGCCTCCACTGTCCTGCACAAAGATGTCTGCTCAAGAATGTTGACTGCTGTGCTTTTGCAAGAGGGGATTGAAATAACCTAAATGCCCACCAACAGTGACAATCATCCATCCATGGCCTGGCCATGCAGCAACTGGGGAGTTTGGCTCTGGGAAATGTCTGAATCTTACTGCTGGGCCAGGACTGTGGCTCAGTGGTAGAGTGCTTGTTTTGTATGCCTAAGACCCTATCTCGAAAAAATCCATCACAAAAATAGGGCTGGTGGAATGGCTAAAGGTGTAGGCCCTGAGTTCAAACCCCAGTACCAAAAAAAAAAAAAAGGTAAAAAACAAACCCTAGATTCCTGTCAGGTGTAAAAGAGGAGTGGGGAAGGTGAGCAATATGAAATAGGAATTTCAGGGTTTTTTTTTTTAATGAATTTGAACTCCGGGCCTCTCAGGTACTCAACACTTGAACCATGCCCTTGCCTATTTTTTTTTTTTTCTTTTCTTTTAGAAGCAGCATCTCCATGTTTAGCCCAGGATGGTCTGAAAATCACTATGTAGCCCAGGTTGGCCTCTACCTTGAGATCTCCTGCCTCAACCTCCCAATGCTGAGATTATAGGATTATTGATATTGCCACCATGACCAGTTCAGGAATTTCACTTTTTTTTTTCTTTTTGTTACTAGAGTTTCAACTCAGGGCCTACACCTTTAGTCACTCCACCAGCCCTTTTTGGTGAAGGGTTTTTTTGAGACAGGGTCTCATGAACTAATTGCTCAGCTGGCTTTGAACTGCGATCCTCCTGATCTCTGCCTCCTGAGTAGCTAGGATTACAGGCATGAGCTGTAATTTTTACTGTGTATCCTAGGCTGACCTTGAACTTGTGATCCTCTCTTGCCTCAGCCTCCCAAATGCTGGGATCACAAGTTTGAGTCACCATGCCTGCCAAGTCTTTTCATTCACTTAATAGTGTCTTTCAAGGAGCAGAAGCTGTAAATTCATCAGTGTTTTATTGCTCATATTTTATTGTCATATCTAAGAAATACCTGTTTAACCCCTAGTCACCAATATTTTCTCTTGTAACTAAGAATTTTCATAATTTTAAGTTTTAATTTTGGGTCTATGACTCATTACACATGAATGTATTTTTATTTATATATTTTTATTTTAATTTGTTTTAATTTAGTGGTACTGGGGTTTGAACTCAGGGCCTCACACTGGTAGGTAGGCACTTTACCACTTGAGCCACCAGCCCATGAATATAGTGTTAAATAGAAATGTGGTTGGGCACTCTTGGTTCATTCCTATAATCCCAGCTACTTAGGAGGCTGAGATCAGGAGGATCTTGGTTCAAGACCAGCCCAGGCAAATAGTTCAGGAGATCCCATGTCCAAATAACCAGTGCAAAATGGACTGGAGGTGTGGCTCAAGCAGTAGAGTACCTGCTTTGTGAGCATGAAGCCTGAGTTCAAACCCCTATTCCACCAAAAAAAAAAAAAAGAAAAGAAATACATGTAGGGTCTGGGATTGTAGCTCAGTGGTAGTGAATACTTGGTATGCTGGAGATGCTGGAGGCCTGGGGTTCAACTCCCAGTATCCCCCCCCACCAAAAAAAAAAAAAAAAAATTTCTGCTGCACTTCTACTCTGTGCAATGAGAGAACTCTAAATGTTTAGTATATCTCCCTCTGTGTCTGCCATGGACACATTGCAGACAAATAGTGGACAAGGAAGTGAGGAAGAATTAGAGAGTTCCAATAGAAAGTAAATTCGACATTCACGAGGCTCTCCCCCTGTCAGGTGCTGTGGTGGCCACAGGGACCAGGGATGTATTCTCACATCAGGACTACTTGATGAAAGTGTCCTATGAAGTGCTAAGAAATGCAAACAAAGGATGAGTTCTCTTTTTTCTTCCTTTTTTGTGGTACTGGGGTTTGAATTTAGGACCTCATGCTTGTTGGCAGGTACTCCATACTGGAGCCACTCTGCTGGCCCTTTTTGTGTTGAGTATTTTTGTGATGGGGTCTAGTAACTATTTACCGGGATTGGCTTTGAACCAAGATCCTCTTGATCTCTATCTTGTGAGAAGCTAGGATTACAGACATGAGCCACTGGTGCCCAGTTTGTTGTATCCCCCCCAGGCTGGTCTCAAACTAACGCACTCAAGCCATCTTCCCAGAATAGCTGGGACTACAGATGTGTTACTGTGCCCAGCAAGAATAAGACTTCTTCCTGGCTGAGGTGAGGGCACAAGGAGAAATGGCCTGAATGAAGGTGGGGACGCCAGCACTGGTCAAATGGAAAGCTTAGAAAATTGGGGACCTGGAGCAGGACCCTTCCCCTCTGAGCCTCTGCTTTCTCACTGGCAAAATGGTAGATGTTTCTGCCTCCCTTGGTGACCAGGAGGAGTCATGGAGAGTTGGCTCAGAGTCCAGGCCATGGTCTTGGCACAGAGTGTTCAGTAAACAGAGGAGTTATAGCATGTGTTTTCACGCCAGAGCTGTTTTGCTTCCAGCATTTTTTTTTTTTTTTTTTTGCTGGATAGAATCAGGGCCTCAAACATACTCGGCAAGTGCACTGTAGCCCAGCTCGTTTCTATAGTGTGTGTGTATGTATATATATATATTTTGTCTTTTTGTCACTGTTTTGAGGCGGTCTCACCACCATAGCCCAGGCTGGTGTTCAGCTTGCGATCCTCTTGCCTCTGCCTCCTGTAACTGGAGTTACAGGTGTGAGCCACTGCACCTGGTGTTTCCAGAGTTTGTTTTTTTTTTTTTTTTTTTTTTTGGGGGGGGAGTGGTGGTTTGAAGTTTGAACTCAGAACTCTTTTTTGTGATGGGCTTTTTCGAGCTAGGGTCTCAGGAACTAGTTTGCCCAGGCTGGCTTCAAACTGCAATCATTTTTTTTTTTTTTTAACTCAGGGCC